TTCTTTGTATATCATTTTGAATGTAGTACTTGCTCTCACAGTTTACCTTATCCAGTATGATTTTTAAAATTCTTGTATGTACTTCATCATAGCTGGCTGCACAAATACTCTATTTACAGTTCTGTAAACTTGTAATTTATGGTTTATATTAGCAATCAATAAATATAAATAAATACAGTAGATACCATAAATTTAGTGTGCTATAATGCTTTTATTTTATTTTTTATTTGAATAGTATGACATTAACCTGTTCACTGTGTCATGTTTCATTGATAAAAAGCTGAAATAAATATAGCTTAATATAAGAAAATGACACAGCACTTGTTTTTAGCTACCTCTCTGTGATTGAAAATCATCCCTGTTCAAGGTCTATGATGGGTACAATATTCTGTCACTTAAACCAGAAGCTTATTAATTACTCAAATCCTAATAATAATAAGGAGAAAACATACAGTATCTAATAACATACATGCTTAACAGCTTCTCCTAAACTTAATATCAGAATTACATGTTACATCACACGGTATATCTGCCTAGATGCCCTTAATATCCCCTCACAATTAACAGTTTTTCTTTAACTTTAGTTCATCAAAGACATCATATAGATTACTTTAAATTTCCTACTGAATTTAAATCCTGATATTTTAAACTTCAACAAACTGATCACTTCAGTGTATGTACATCATATATGTGTATATACTGCGTATGAATGTGGATACATGGATGCATGGGATGTATGTGTATGTGGATCATTAATGTGTGTAGTTTGGTGTGACTGGGTTACCAAATACACATACATAAGAGCACAATCCCGCACATGAGCACACACGCACACCTGCACATACACACAAACCTGAATATGAAGTTTGTGCTACAATCTACTCATAGTTCTGCTAAAGGAACAAATAACACATGTTTTTTCTTAATCATTGTCCCTAACCTAAGCTAATGCCAATTATCACATGACTGCAGTTTGATCTGTAGGAGTTTTTTGGTTTTTGGCATATTAGTTAAAATGCCCCAAGACTTTGGGTGGGAAGGTGAAGTCTGGATGACCAATGAATTTCTACATACAACAGCAAACTGTGAAAAATCTATCGTGAACTTGCTATACTTCTTGAAAACTATTGGTCTATAAAGGGATATTTTTGATAACAGATTTCACTTTGGCATAAAGTCCATTCTCATAGATATAAATTAACAGGCATATTTATTTTTGATTACTGAGTTAAACTCTTAATATCATTCTTCATTCTTATCAAAACATGCATATTCTCACATAAATATCATAATATAATAATGTACATAGCTACAGAATTAAGTCCATACTAACATTTACTAAAGTAAAGTTTTTATTTGAATAAAAAATAATTACTCTATTAACAATACTGTATATCAGAAGAAATTCTTATTACATAGGCATCACACAACTAGAGATCATATAGACTAAATCACTGTTATCTTCTAATACAATAAGAATATCCAATTTTTGTAATCTATGTACATTCAAAGAGATTTGATTAATATAGTATATAACTTAAAACTAAATGTCTTTGAAAGGAAATTTTCAGTATTATATTATTTGAAATCTTTTTTTTTCTTCAAACTACATTTAGTCAGAGACAAAATAATTATAAATAAATGCACCATTAATAGACAGTAATGTACCAGTGTCACCATATTACATTGAATAAGGATGAAGACGTTAATTTTAAATAAAAGATATTAAGCTGTCATACCCATTCATACCTATTCCCAGTATAAATACCATGTTATCTAAAGCAGTTGAAAGTTCTTAAGGGAAAGCATGAATAAACGTTTGCAGTGACAAAGGAAGGAGAGCTATTAAGATCATTATGCCAAAAGAGGCACCCTTTGGATGAGAACTTCCACCAGTAGTTGCAGTTAGGCGATCACTGAAGACTTCCAGGAGACGCAACGCCACGCCATTCGTCCAGCCGAAGCCTAACTGGACATCATATTCTCCTCCTCCTCCAGGTAGGCCAATTATGCTCACATTGTACTGGAAAGAAAGTATTTTCTTTTACTTTCCTTAATATAACTTAAGGTAAAGTTTCACATACTGATTACAATTATATATTTTTCCTGCTCATTGTTTGCTTTCTTGCATACTCTATGTAACTACTACCATCTTATTTCATACACTCGTTATTTGAAGGCATATAATTACATTAGAAATAGCTCTTTCGTTACATATACAGACAAACCCGCAGTTTATATTCTACTGATATATAAAAAAACAACACACAAACTATCCTTTCATATTTCTTTAAGGTCAACTGTAAATGAAAACGACTGTGCTAAATAGAGATGGACTGCATTACGGCACTCTAAAAACTAGAAATCATTCTCAAATAGAGGTCCACTGCAATATTCAGCTATTCTCTACATTATTTTTCTTTGGGCATTTTCTTCCTTCTATTGACTCTTAATTTGGAAGTAAACAAATTAGTCAGAACATAATTTGAGTATCAGTAAT